AACTACAGCATAAAAGCTCTACATTGGGGAGCAAGACTCCTGGTTGACACTGGAGTCTTTATCAAAATTTCCCCAGATTAAATGGTCCTAATTTACTGATGCCCAGTCTGAGGAGAGTCAGAAGGGACGGAGGTACTTTTCTGAAGTAGAGAACTGTCTTTGACTTGGCAAGTCCCCACAGGATATAACAAGGCAAGCATTAAATGCAATAGTTTGAGACAAAATTGACTTGGTTATGTTAATAACTAGATGGTCAGCAATAGAGTGAGGAAAGAAGAAAGAGTAATAGAATGGATGAAAGAGTTAAAAGAGATGAATGGATGAAAGACTTAAAAGAAATGAAAGAGTTAAAAGTTTTCTTAGCTTTAGTTTGGTAGAGTTTTCCCCTGGGACTATTGCCCATGACTCTGGAGGGGGTGGTGCTTTCTTGACTTGGTTGTGACGAGTCCATCCTTTTTCAGCAGTCTTGGTGGTTAGCAACTCAAAGTAGGGTCCTTCCTAGGCTAGCTCGAGTTTCCTTTCTTTTCATCTTTTGATGAAAATGTGATCTTTAGGCTGGTGCTGGTTTACTGGAAATTCTAGGGGTGGTACATGTGCTAAAAGACTTTTAGTTTTGAGGGAAAGGAAAGTGGAAGATAAAGTATACAATTTCTAAGAAAATGACTTCTTGTTTTAATGTGGGGACATCAGCAGTGGACTTTATAGTCCTTGGTGCCTTTCTACTGAGAAATTTCTTTTAGCACCTATTTTTATTAGTTTTTAAACCAAAGAAAGCCAAACACCATTTTATATTTAATAATGCTTCTTGTATGATTTTCATACCAGATAAGCTAAATTTCACCTTTATATTAGTGTGTTATTAATGTTAAACTTAATTTTAATAAAACCTTGTAGACATATTTATCCAATTTTTAATGTTGGACCATAAGGTAAGATTTTTACAGACTCTTTTTAATCTTTTATAATTTTTGTTAAAGGGTAGATTAGTGCTTTAAGAAAAACCTGTTGTGTTTTTACTTTAATGTCCAGTTCACAGAAAAACTGGATGACCCCTTTGACTTTAATATGTTTATACACAGAATTTTCTTTACAATTAACATTTTTAAACTTGCTTAAACCTTCAAAACAATAATTTTTTAACCTTTTAATGTAGGTAAAAATTTACATTCTTATGCCTCCTTATAATCCTTTTACCAAAGGTATATTTTACTTTCCTTATACAACTTTCACATAAACTGTTTTTTTTTAGAAAGACATCTTTTGTGATGCCGACCTCACCAGTTGTTCCAGGAAGTATTCCTAAGTGCGGGGACAAAAAAAAAAAAAGCGATTAGATTTAACATTATACTCGGACTATATTTTGAAAATTCCCCTGTAACTCCATTTTCCTAACAGGGCTATCTAAACTTAATTACCATACAAGGGATCCTAAATCCATACCTATGCGGATAACTGCTGTTCAGGAACGGAGATGTGATTGGTTCCTCCCAGGTATATTTTGAAGATGAAAAAAAAAAGCTCATTCTATACGTTTTCTAAATAATTGTGGACAAACAAGGTCTAATTTAATAGCAATAGGATTAATTTAAATCTCAACATATACATTCAACAGTAGTTTGCTAAGTTTACGGTAGTAATCAAAAGGTACCAATATACAAAAACAGTCTGCAACAGACATAGAAGTTCACATTTTGGAGATAGACAGATATATGCACGCGGATGGAGCTCAACTAGATATAACCCGCACATTGGAGGCCAAGACTGGGCGGGATCACATAGGTCAGTTAAGATCGAGACCATTAATATTACCTGAGCTATACACGGTTGAAATCCCCGTCTCTTC